ACGATTTATCATTCTGACAAGCGATTTATCGGGAATCTACCGATAAATCAGACCTACTCATAACACTATGTTTGCAAAAAAACTATGTTTATTTATGTTTTGTGGACCTTGTTACGGAATATGTACTATTGTCCTATTTTGTTTGTCATTTTACGAAGATTCAAAGGCTAGAAATCAAGGTAACACTTCTGTCAAATATTGTTTTGGTGTTGAATATAGCGTATTTTAGTGCTGGAACCTGAGATTTGCAAAAAAAATATCCGATTAATAGTCGACCGATAAAATCGATTAATCATCCGATTTCTGATTAATCTCTAATCCCTAGCTGACCGAGACGATAACGATAAGCGATATCCTCAACATTGCAACCGGCTGCCACTCGGATCTTTTAAGCTGTCTTATGCTAAGTTGTAACCCAAGGTATTTGCACGGGAAGGTGGCAATCTTCCATGGAAGGGCCGACTTTACGAGCTCCTCATCCTCCGTCTCTGCCCGGATCATAATTGCCGCAGATTTGGCAAAGTTTACTTTAAGACCAGATGCCACTCCGAAGATGGTGAGAGTTTCCTTAACAAACAGAAGATCTGGCCAAGTTGATTTGATGAAGAGCACCACATCATCCGCGTACAACGACAGGCGCTGCATCGGGCTACATCCATTAATGGTGCTCAGAACACGATCCTCATGCGCCTTGACCACGATAGCCGTAATAACATCCATGGCAATAACGAATAGCAAAGGGGAGATCGAGTCCCCTTGCCTCAAGCCTTTTGCATGCATGAACTTGTCCCCTGAGTTGTTGGGCACCGATGAACCTGTACTACATATTACTCTGAAGTTTATTCTTATTTTTTGCAGATACTCTAATTTTTTGCGGATACTATGATGTTTATTTAGAAAGTTAAAGGAGGTGTTTCTACTCCCGAGCTTATCTGCACCCGCCTGATGAAAAAAATCAAAACAAATTCAAGAAATTCCATTTTTTATGTGGTAGATAAGTTTATGCGTGAGGTGCGCTCCAAGTTTCAACTCATTTGGACATCTGATCAACTCTCGGCAAAAAAGACAAATTCATGGTCTGTAAAAAAGTTTATTGTTCACACACTATTCCGACCCGATTTGTTTTTAATTTTTTTTGCCGAGAGCTGCTCAGATCTCAAAAAATAAGTACAAATTTGGAGCGAACCTCACGCATGAAATTATCTATGACACGAAAAAATTGGACTTTTTTGACTTTTTTAGTATTTATTTTGAATTTTTTTTCTGACCAAGTGCAGATGAGCCTGGGCATAGAATTGGATCAGAATATTTCAAAAAAGTGTTTCCAGAATCTTTAAACATCTAAATTGTAACCATCTAGTCAATTCCGTAAGAGCATCTACAACAAGGCGTCACAAACCGGTCTCAAACGCCCGGGCTACCCGCCCGGTCACTGACCGGTAATGAAATTCTGACCCAGACGGGCGCCTCAAACGGTCCTCAAATGCCCGAGCTGACCGACACCCCTCATATCCAACCCAAAAATGGGGCGGATATGGTGGCGGCCGTCACGTCGGACTGACGGCGGGGTCCCATGCGAAACCGTCAGGAAACTCGGTGGTCTGTCGGACCGATGTCGTCGTGTGGCGCCGCTCCGGCAGGACGCGTAGTGCCTAGCCCAGCTTTAAGTCGATCGCCGGCACCGAAACCTTACCATCCACATTTTCCTCCGTCTGTCCGCCGCCGCCGCCACTTTTTACTCCTCGTCCGCCAGTAGCCATGCCCCCACGCCGTCAGGTGAGGAGCCACCCATTTCTTAACGCGAGAGAGTCAGCTGGAGCTCCTTGAGCAGATCCAAGCAAGGCGCGAAGCCCGGATCGCCGCGGGGTTACCTCCGGATGCTGTGGATCTGAAGGAGGTTGAGGAGGAGGAGGATGAGCCGGAGGAGGAGGATGTGGGGGACGCTAGCGACGCGGATCTGCAGACGGAGCAGCATGCCATCCTCGATTCCCTCCGCTCGGAGTCGGCTGCGGAGGCCAGACGCCATCGCCGGTAGGAGATGGAGGCAGCGAAGGAGGCGGAGATGCTTGCCTACATGGATGAGGTCGAGCAGAAGGAGGATGAGCCAGAGCCATCCTACGCACCCGTCTTGCCGGCGCATGGCATCAACGTCGTGGACATTTCCGACGATGAAGATTAACTAGGGTAGTACGTAGGATTTCTTTTGCCTGCGTTTGTATTAAATTTGAGGGTTGAAATATGAGAGACTCAGATTCGGAGTGGGTAATTTGAGGTATGACCGGTCAATGTCCGTGGCCGCGCCGGTCGCGTTCGCTGACGTTTGAGTGGCCGGATTTGTAGATGCTCTTATGATATGTAAACTAGTGCTGTGGGTCCATCTTGGTGCACAAACTTGAAAATTGCAACCACCGGGTTCAAATTGGTACAAAATCACCCTAGAGGTGACAAGTGCCGCTGTGTTTTCTTCTTTTGTGAAATCATATCTGTGTTTCGCATTCATCTCCTTGTACACCAAGAATTCGCCACACAGACAGGCAGGCAGGCAGACAGGTGTTGGACGAAATGCCACGTGGGGACACGTGCCGTGCGCTGCGCAACACGCTGCTCTCGCCCTGCGCGGCAGGTGGGACATCCGTGAGAAGATATATAGGGGCTGCGAGGGCACAAACACAAGAGCGCGTCGAGCGGGCTGGAGCTGGACCTACACTAGGCGGCGCACTCCATGTCTCCAATGGCGGCGGCCCGGCTTGCCTTGTCGAGGACCTCACTCACATAGACTCTCTGTTGGTGTTTCACCAATCTCCTTCAAAGCCTTGTTTGGCACAGGAGTGTTTCAAGCGCATGGGGATGCAGTGCTGCCCGTCACCGGTGCGGAGATGCAGTAAAAACGCGCAGCGATCAGTGGGATGACCAATTTATCCTGAGCACCAAATGACCAGACCCTAGCTAGGGTTCAAAGTGTCAAATCCCCGTGAAAGGTAATCCCCAATCCCCTTGCTACAAAAGTACTAGTTCCACGCACAGGGACCATAATAATAATATTCAAAGTGTCTTCTAGAAGCAACTAAAACAGCAGACCCACAGCATCCAATATTACAGTTTACAACTACAGTTAAACTAGGCAACATCACTACCATGCTCAGCGTCTGAGTTAAACTAGGCAACATCACTACCATGCTCAGCGTCTGAATTAAACTAGGCAACATCACTACCATGCTCGGCCTCTGAATTAAACTAGGCAACATCACTATCATGCTCGACTCTGAATTAAACTAGGAAAAATCACTATCATGCTCGGCCTCCGAATTAAACTAGGCAACATCACTACCATGCTCAGCCTCTGAATTAAACTAGGCAACATCCCAGTTTGCTGGAACATTGTACTACAGATACACGGACAGCGTCTTGATTCAGTGTTTTGTTCATGACTCCACATCAAACTTCATGCACCTTCTACAAGCTTAGCATCCTCTTCTGGTGTCTGAAGACCCGCAACATCGGACCTGCACGTGAAGTCCAAAGGCGATTCTATGAGCAAACGTTCTGTCAAAGTTGATAACTGTGGTCATCATGAGACAACTCGTTCCAAGTCATCAGGTTACCTTTATTCAGAGGCACCTTATCAAATCAGAATTAATAACAAAAGGAGATGACATATACTTGTAATACACTAAGCAAGTTAGCGTATAATCCGGTGATGCATGTGCAACAGAACTAAAAACAAACAACAGAACTAAAAACAAACAATCAACTTAATCATCCTCAGCGGATGAATAGTAACGGCCCTTCAACAACCTAACTCATAATGCAAAATGTAGGCAATCGATTCATCGCAGTGGTAGCCAAGTTTGTATCGGAAGAACAAGAAAGCTCATAATGCTCACCTAGCATGCACAATGGCAGGTCAGGTATGTTTCTTCAGCACATCAACATGTAAAAATGAATTTGTTCTTATGCATGCACAGCACAGGAAGATTAAACAGCAAGTTACCATAATGAGGTTGATTATTAGCAAGAGGTATGTCCTGTACAAGGTGATGAATTATTATATAAAGAGTAACTTAATGTCAACAAATTTATGCCATGTAGCAATTATAAATATATCAGCGCACACGTGGAAAGAGAGCATGCTGTCTTAATCAAGAAATGACCATGTCATTGCACACAGGCAAGAGGAAAAAATGATAAGGCTTGATCTGCCATGTAGTCCAGAATACATTGCAGTCCTTGCAGATCAGTCAGCAACCAAATAGTACGATCGGAAAGGGCAGAAGCGGAATGGACAGTATAAAACCTAACACCAATTCAAACATTAAAACACACGTCTTTATCCCCCAAAAGGAGCAAGTTGTGTGATTATCTGCAGAGATTGACATCTCTGCCATACTAAACATGTCTCCGACCAAGAGTCACATAGATTGCCTCCTAAATTAAGACCAGCTAAATTAAGATAAGCAACGACATGCTCATTCCAGCATTGATTCATCAAAAATTATTCTCTGACATGCAGAAACAATGTCATTCCTACAACATGAGACATTCCAGAAGCTAACTAAAGAACCCCATTGATTCATCAGAGATTTCTCTGAGATGCAGCAACAATGTCACTCCTACACCATGAGACATTCCAGAAGCTAACTAAAGAACCCCATTGATTCATATTATTCTCTGAGATGCGGCAACAATGTCATTCCTACAAAATGAGACATTCCAGAAGCTAACTAAAGAACCCCATTGATTCATCAAACAAGGAAAAAGATAGAAGGGTGAGCAAGAGCAGTTGTAGAATAAGCGGTGGTGGCGAGAGGACAATCAAAGTTGGCCCAACCCATCCGCCTACCAAATAACTATATTTCGCTAACAGCATTCATTGTACATTTAATAGTGTTGTTCTCATTAATCACACCATTGCTATTCTTATCTCACTCACTAAAACAAATGAATAATTTTTAAAAACAAAAAAAGACTAAAAATGTACCTCACTCTTTCATGGCATCGCCTTACGCATCACCCCGTATAGCGGCATTTAGATCATGACATAGACTTGGATACTTCTTGCGAACTTCAGCATCAATAGAGAGCTTTTCATTCTTCAACTAAAACCAAAGCACTTGATTATCCAACTAAAATGTTTGTATCATGTGTGTGTATTGTGTTTATGTGCATGGAGTACAAACTTACAGTTTTTCTGAGCTCATTTTCATGAGTATACATCCCGCTTATGAATCTGAAAACATCTGCCAAACTTTCTCCATCATAGTCTCCAAGCCCATTATTTGATCGATACCTTTCCATTTCTACCATAAGTGGATCAGATGCCCATGCTGCTGTCCACGGGAGCGTTGGCATAGACGGAGACAGCCTAAATCTATTCTGAATAGCTGTATCGTTCCATATTCCAAGTACCTCATAGGCAAAGAATATCTTCGTTCTTTTCTCATCCCAAAAGAATTCATGATCTTGAAGATCACGTTTCACTGTACCGATTGAATCCCTGAAAATTCATGAAAACAAGAACACAAGGAGTCAAAGATAAACAAATAATCTCTACTATTGAATGGGAGTCCGTACATCATTCGTTTGGTCTGGTTCATAGAGACTCCACGATCAAAGGAAAGAAATCACCCCCGTCGATTTCTTTCCCAAACCCCACCACCTCCCGTTTCACGACTTTCTTCATAAAAGCCCCACGCACCCAGCCCGGTTTATTGCCTGAAATACATCTAGATTTTCTCCACGACGCTCTTGTTTCGCTCTTCCATAAAAAAAACTCACACGCAACTACCATCCCTACGGTGTCGCACCTCGCCCGCCCTACCTCCCAGCATTCCCCTGCTAGCCCATAGTTACTGAAGATGGAAGAAACAGTTAAGGCGGTTGAAGTGCTACAAGGGAGTTGCTACTGCTGCACACATGCTGTTGTGAG